TGAATACAAATGAAGGCTATCCATTGTTCTCATTGAATACAATTGAAGGCTATCCATGGTTCCCATTGAATATAAATGAGGATTATCTATGATTTCCACTTTTCCTTACTAGTGCAGAAGAAGTGAACATAATGCTAGTATTTATACCAAATTTGACAAAGGGCTTTTCAGCTTCCTTATATAGCTTTACCACTGCATGGCCTGGCCCGTACGACCAGGTGATGGTCTTACCTTGCAGTTGCATTGCCTTATGCCATCATGCTAAAATCTAACCACTTCCTGCAATTCAGTAGAAAATGTGTTCATGGCAGTGTCTACATACGGTTTGTTAGTTTCAACAATCCAAAGGAAACTTTGCTTTATGGCTTCCAGCTCTACCTTTGTGTTGTTTGTGGGAAGCCTGAATGTTTCACCCACCTAACGTAAAACGTTGTTGTTCCACGAGAAAAATGTTCAACCAGTTCTCTCACTATCTTTGTGTAGGAAATATCTGCGACTGTAATGACAGGTGACTGTCTACCATAGTTTTGTGAATTGGTAATGACAAGCTTTTTCTGCTTCACCCCTACCAAGTCTCTAAAGTAATTTTCATAGGTCTCGTGTTTATTTCACGTCCATATGGCCAATGAAATTGTCTGCCGAAGGTTATGAATTGGTACTTCAGTGTTTTTTCCCACATGGATAGCAGTGGTGTGTCTCCATGTTCTTGAATGTGAGAAGCATGGCAGTGGCAGGACCGATGAACATTCCTACGTCATTTTACCATTTGCTCATTCTACTGAGGAATTGTTGCATCTTGATTTAAATTTCAGCTTCGCTACAGTCTTAAAATGTTGTCAGCACACACCATCTGGTTGTACTGTCAATACGGGGCTAGATGTATGGTGTAGATGTTGAAGCGAGTGTGGTGGTGATCCTAGAGGCAGACCAGTATTGATGGTGATCCATTCTGATTGCTAGCTTTTATGCTGCTTGATGCATCTTCTGGTAGTTAGTCCCGCTAAAACCAACCTTACAGTGACGCCTATTTCAAGTTCGCAGTTTTAATCAAATAAAACAATTGTATCTCACGTTTAGTAATGCACCTATTATTTTCGCAATTCCAAACATTTGTAAACAAACAGGTTACGACAGCAGAGCTTTCCACGTGACCACACGAATAATACTCGTATTCGCTAAATTACGTTTTTAAGAAGCCCCTTTTAAAGTAAATATCGAAACATTAAAAGCTTTTGAAATTGACTTTTTTTCCATTAGTAAAACACATGTAACTATAATAATTAGATACAGGTCCTCGCTTGCGAGTTTTTATGGGCTATCTTTTAAAATCCTTGGTTCTATGTGTGAGTTTTAAAGTCCTTGTCTTACAATCTTACATTAATATAAACACCAAACATTTATAAATTCATTAACATGAATCCAACACCACTCGCCTTTTCAGTACATTAACAGAAGTGGCAGAAAAGTTTGCAGACGCGAGACTGATACTCTGACTTTATCACATGACAAACAATACTTGCACGTCACGGATTTTAAAAGATACACACTCTTGTTTGATGGTTCAATTAAAACTCCACTGGAATAGGTAGATCTCATTATACGGCATAGTTTAAAATTCATAAAACGGTCAAACTGAAGTAAAATTTTTATTTTCATAAAATCAAACATTTGATTACGTATAGTTAAAAACCATAACAAATCTAGAGTGAAATCAAACTTAACTACATATGGTATGCTTACAACCAAAGATAATTCTGTAGTAAAGCCATCAGTAATATATCTATTCTATAATAATAATTTAGCTAACTTTTTGCACAGTCCAAGATCAAACTTTGCAGGTATACTCGGGATGTCCTCATATGTATGGCGTAATCTCTTATCAAGTGGAGCTAAAATGCTCTGGTATGGTCATCCATGCACGATAGGATTCGAAGTGTAAATTTTCAGGGTCATTTACCGCAAATCTGGCCCTCTTCGGGATTCCGGTAGTACCAAATTTGAAACTGTACGTTTACACCCAAACTTGGTGCATGCAAGGAGTTGCAGACCCCCCCCCCCAACACACAGATATGTGTTGCTTTATTAGCAATTGCAGATAGTGGATGAGCTTGATTAATGCATTGTGAATCATAGACAGATCTCTGAGCCTCCACCATGATGCGTATTGTATTACAGTATAATAAGAAATTCATTATGTTAGTAGAAGAAAATTCATGTCATTAATCTGTATTATTGGTTGTAAATTAAGAATAGGGTTTCCATCACTTGTATTTTTAAAGTATTAAGTACTTCG